CTTCTCCGCTCTACGCTGACTTGGTCAAGGTACTAAAATAAAGTAAAGAAGATCATTGAAATCAGTGTCGTCTTATCGGGTCAGACTTTATCCTTTGAATTACTCATATGTATATCCTATGAATTTCATTTCGCACCGGAAACTATTCTAGGAGAAGTTTGAATCCGTTCCGTTCGGATATTGATCGGTCTTGGTTTGACATGGTTTACGCGTTACTGGTTCCCGGAAGAGTTAATATCTCCATTAGCTAAACCCTTTCTTATTCTTACCTTGCCTTTGGACTCGTATTTTGTTCGTACACAATCATTAGAGGCCTCCCCGACATATCTTGCAACGTAGCACATTTCCCGATATAAGGATTCTTTGTCAGGTCTTTCCAATGTCGGGGACAGCAGCAAACCACCTTTTTTATTCACAAATGATTGTGATTGTGGAGTTGAAGCAGGGAACAGTGCTAGACGACTCGGCGATTCTACCCTACCTTTTTCCCAGGATTTGATTGCTGCTTGACGAGAAAAAACCGCATGTTTGGCTCTATATTCAGCTTTTTGGTGACAGATCCGATCGGGTGTTCATAATCTGGAGTAAAAGGATTCAAACCTTTGCATGCCGGTACCAAAAACTGATGCCTTAACACTTGGCTATACTCCATACGGTCTGTTTTGGACGGTAGAACAGGGAGAGGGGGAAGGGGGAAGCAGGGCTCGAAGAACGAGCCGAGCCGTGCAAGGACGCGGTGATATAGCAAGTAAGCAGAAAGGTTCTTTAGGACCGACTACAACAAGCTCACGACTCTAATAGAAAGAAAGGGTAAGCTCCCTGCTCTATTTTCTTGCAATGTTATGCCTATCAAAGTAGGCGAACGCATCTGTAACCTTTCTTAGGCCCACCAGGAACGCCCCTAGAAAGGGGGGAGTCTCTTCCTAATCTAAATTAACTGCCAAAAATAGTGTATGAAAAACGAATTCAAATTCCAAACAATAAATTTCTCAACGTTGAACTTCAGGACAACGAAATGGCTTACGAGAATAAAAGAGACCTAACCTATCTAATAATATGTAATTCTCCTTGGGCACATAACCATAAGTCAAACGATAGAAATGGATACTCAATGCCATGAACACCAAGACATCCTCTTTTTTTGATGGAAAAACAACTATATAGTTTGCAAGCAAGGCGAGAAGCGATTCTCTTAGCCGGCATACCCGACGAATCAAAAAAGCTATAATAAGGCAATCCATGGGCATGGAACCCCGAAATAGCCAATCTACAATCATTTAATCAGGTCGAAAAATTCTTGCCGGTGGGTAGAACCAAGACTCATTTTAGCCAGGAGCTTACTTTCACTACTTATTTAGCTACTTTAGGTCGTTGTAGTCCATAAAGACGAATCAAACTTTATCAGAGCTTGCATTCGATGTCGTTGATTCAATTTCTTCACGCAAGAAATTCTAAAAAGAAGCTTCCTTCGCAGCCATTTTGATGTGGGAATTGTGCAAAATTAGACTTTTAGGGAGATAAGGTAGGGAAACCATTGATGATATTTCATTCGAAGTGGTGTATTTCAAGTTAGAGAGTTAGGGAATTCAATCTTGGTATTGAAAGTGCGGAATCGTATTGCCGAAGTGGGCTATTTGGATAGGAATGAAATAGGTTTTAGAAGGTACAAGTATTGAAAGAAATCATGTTTATATATAGAAAATACTCCTCGTGTAAATAGAAGTATGTCACATGGGTGTGGCCTAAAATTCATCCATGAACCACTGCTTCTCCATAGAAAATCCACGAATTTGGCCGAGTTGGCTCTAATTCAATGCTTGTCTCTATCGAGAGTTCCCGGATATGCTGGGAATCCTCTCAAGGATGGAGGTGGTCGTCTAAGAACTGTTGAGTCCAGGGTAATGGCGCCTTCCACACTTAGGTTGATGCTGGCGGAGTGTGTTGGTTTTTTTCTTCTAGTATTTTTTGATGCAGTTAGAACGTCTCATCATATGATATTCAAGGCTAATTGAGTTCTTGCAGCTAGGGCAGCATCCAATGTCTGGTTCGGTCTTCATCGTATGTCGGACTGGTTCAAAGCTGTTCAATGATGGCTGAATCAATGCCATCAGGCTTTCTAGAATGTAAGGGTTCGAAATGACTTAGTCTCCTTCTCCACTTCGACTCAACCACCTACCTAACCTCTTAGAAAAGATCCGATAGATAGTAGCTACCTAACTTTTAAGCCCTTCACCAATCAAGGTCTTTCATCTAGTAAGTCCTAGTACTATGTTCTCCAAGCTTGACTAATAGAGTAGGCAGGCCCTTTAGAGAGCAGTAGAATGTTGGGTTAGCTCTGCCTTTAAGTGATAGGGGGTGAGGGGAACTGCTCAGAAATGTCTTAATTGGTTGAGGAGTGACCGATCCGGTCAGTCAAAAAATAGTAAAAAAAAAGAAAGTCTGTCTGGTCTGGTGTAGCTAATGTGACTTTCTCGATCTATAGTTCTTCTTCTTTCTTTCAACCTCGATATGTGTAATCGTCTTGCGCCATATGTACTGAGATTGTTCGGGAGACATGGTCCAAGCCCGGTACGAGGATGACTTGTGCCTAGGGGTGCAATGAATTCTTTCCCGGTATGCCGCTCCGCGAGCTAGGATAAAATTATCAGATGTCCCTTTCGTTTACAACAACCTTAAGCGCACAAGCCTGGGTTGGGCCTACCTCCATCCCTATAGGAGCCGTATGAGGCGGAAGCTCCACGTATGGTAGAGAATTCGAACACCAACCCTTAAGACTGTAATTGGCTTGCTAGTCTTTTCCCTTGCGCTTGACAACTCTTCTGACAAGGAGTCCGCAATTAGAGGAGGGGTGAATGGAAGTACTTCACACTGAACACTCGCTTACGAAATGGAAAAGAACTCTCAGGATTCGAGAAGGACTAGGCAGGCTGTTTAGGGCGATTATCCTCTTCCTTAGACATAAAGTTAGACCCACTAGGTAAATAAAGGAATTACGAAGGTAAGACACATATCGCAATATTACATCTACCTTTGCCTTACCTACATAAAGCCTTCGCCCGTTGGGAAATCCCTAATAAGTTGCGCTAAAGACTGTTAGCCTTCTCTTTAGTAGTTTCACAAAGGTGGAGTCTAAAAAAATGTAACATATGCCGACTCCTTTGCTCAGTGAACCCCGCATCTGAGGGTCGGGGCGTGAAGGCCTGTCGGCTTTGGAAATCTGACGATTACCTAAACCTAAAGGCTGCGAGTACCGATGCTCAAGACTCTTTAGGAGGTTCATAGTCCAAAGCCTTCCATTTCTGTCAAATGACCCGGCCTCCCCTGGCTCTTCCACCGCCCGGGCTCCCTTTCCTCCCTATGCTCCCCCGGCGCAGGCCTATCACGCTTCGCGCCTGTGGCGTTTTCACCAGACGGTCTTTGCCAGTAGTGTCATCCTCCCCGCTGGCTGTATGGGCGGGTTGCCCCTCGCTGCTGCGTTCTGTTAGGCTATGGATTACAGGAACAAATGTAGTTGAATGGAACAGCAGGCGGGTTACACGTTCCACTGTGCCGAGATTTGAGGTGCAGGTGGTGATGATCACCTCGGGGTATGCGCTAGCGCCCTTGACAGGCACTCCAGAACCCGCCAACGCTCGTGAAAATTCGGGTCGGTCGGTGCTCCATTCATCTGATGGCTTGTAGTCGTAGTCTTTTAGATTATATAGTCGTCGGCCTTCCTACACGCACGCGCCCGCCAGAATGTCTCCTTGGTTCGGCATGAAGCCAAGCCGATACATACAATAGGAGAAGGAAAGACCCCCATTTCATAGCGCCTGGGGAACGCAAGTTTGATCGAGGATTGGAGAGGAGCCCGGGCCAAGTCAGTGGGGGGACCCTATCGAGATCCTTCCCCCCCCCCCAAAAAAAGAAAACTGTACGTGAGAGTTTCCCTTCATACGGCTCGAATCATTCTCAGATGCCCCGAGATGCATCCTTTCCTTGTTTGTTGGGTTGGTTCACGCGCGCGCAAACAAGCACCGGCCGCAACAGCAGGAAACTATGACCAATAGAGTCAGGCACTTAGCTACATCCGCACGCAAAAGGAATGTGGTTCTGGTTGAGGCTTTCTTTTCCTTATTAGGATAAGTTATCCAATAAATGTCGTGGAATAGGAAGAGATCATTTGAATACCGAAACTCTTCTACGTCAGCCTTTGAGAAAAACCTCTTTTGTTTCAAGATACGAAGAATCATATCCCAAAACTAAGAAGGAATCAAGCTGCAAACTTTCCTCCTCGGATGAGGCTTAGTTCAGCTAGCCCTAGACAGATCACATCTCATTAGAAAGGTATTAAATTCTCATTAGAAAAAGGGCTTCCCCCAGAAGAAAGAATTGAATTAGCTAAGTCAGTAAGAATGACTAGGACCTAGCACAATACGTTCTTTGATTCGTGGGACTGGAAGCGAGGGCCGCTATTCCGGTCAGCTTGTTAGAAAGGGAATTAGCACCCTAAAGACAGCTACTCTCGCTTTCTAACAGTAAACTAAACTGCCTTCCGGTCGCCTCACCAACGCCTTCTCTCCCTATCGGTCGAACTTTTCCATCCGAGAAAGGGGGATCGATTACCTTTAAAGAAAAGAAATTGTCTTTTGTAGCAAAAACTTAATGACCTTGTATTCATCCAATACAACAAAAGGTTACAAAGGCGCTACAATTCATTAAAATCCAATAGATCTTCGGATCCTATTTTGTTGAGAGACGTAGAGGAAAATGATGATTGGGTTATACCAACAGAAGTTGAGCTTCAAGAGTTTGCTGATGGTAGATATGGTCTTCTTTGGTCAGCTATGCAAGAGGCAATGGGAAGAAACGAAGAAGTTAGGGTTACAACTAGGAGCAAAAGAGAGTGTCATAAAGATGATGTTGATGATGATATTAGAATTGAAGTGGAAGATCTTGATGAACAATTCGATGCCTTGGTTGATGTGGACTCGAAGGAAGATTTCGTGGCTTGCGATTAGATTATGTTTCGATTAGATTATCTTTAAAACATTAACACTTTTTGAATTTTCTATTTGCTATTATATTTATATATGTTTTATGCACTACAAGAAAAAAAAGCCTTTTACGACACACAATGCGTGTCATAAAACGCTCAGACGACGCGCAAATGTGTGTCAAGGAAGGCCCTGTCATAAAGAAAGACGACATGCACATGTGGGTTGTCTATTTACGACACGCGTTTACGACGCGCTCTTATGACACGCAATGTGTGTCAAGGAAGGCCCAGTCATAAAGAAGACGACACACATTTGCGTGTCGTAACCTTACGACGCACATTTACGACTCGCATTGTGTATCATTAAAGCCCATGTCATAAAGAAAGACGACACACATTTTTGCGTGTCATAATTTTAAATGTTTTAAAAATTATATATTTTGACAGATTTAGTAATTTTTAAATTCAGTAACACATTAGAAGTCTCATAATACAAAATAAAATACAATAAATAAGAAAGATAATTCATTGCACTAATATATCAAATACAAACAATCATTCCAAAAGTATGTAGTTACAACAAAAGAATTGAAAATTTCTAGAAAAGAGTCAAAAGACACAAAACTCAAATGGAAAACCACACAGGAGTTAAAAATTTCCAAAAAAAATGACAGTAAAGGTGACTGAAACCAAGTTGCCCATGTTTATTCCAACCAAAAGCCAAACATATGCCATATTCAGTCACCATAATTGTATGGGCTCTCCAATAGTAGTAAAGTATGTTTCTCATAAGCTACAAAAAATAAGTAATCAAGTTTTAACAAATTGTTAATTAGAAAATAAACCCATATTATAATTTGTTAATTACTATTGTACTATCATTATTATTGAGAATTAACCTAGTTTTAACAACTTGTTGTCATCACATACTTAAGTTAATTTTATTCTATAATGTTGTCTTATGAGGCTTAATCTCTTGAAAAACTTTTTTTGTTTTTATTCTTCATGTATACACAAGAATGATGCAAGGGCATAACAATAAAGATCAACATTTGGTGTGCATTGTATTCAGACTTAGATCATTTGGATACAAATTTTAACTATTTTGTCCCACAAAAAAAGACTTAATTTTAATCTTATTTGTGCAAAAGAAGTGAATGCCTGTAACATCCATAAAAATCAAGCCAATTTTAAACTTTTTAAAACATTTAGAAACCAATAGTTATTACAAATTTGTTTTCAAAATAGTTCCATATCAGAGTATCCCAGAAACATAGTCAAAAAATGTGAGGAACTGTACGATCATGCCTTTGCCTTCCCGCGATCATCTGAGGTACCTGAAACCAAAACTGAAACTGTAAGCCCGAAGCTTAGTGAGTTCCCCCAAAATACCCATACACACAATAATACACATATAATCACAAACAACATACTATGGGTCCAATCAACCTTCGGGTTGGAATACCCCATGCCCTCAACCATTGGGTTGGAATGCCACTCATACTATAGGTCCAGTCATCCTCGGGATGGAATACCCCAGTCCCACAACCATCGGGTTGGAATGCCCTCATACTACGAGTCCAATCATCCTCGGGATGGAATACTCACGGCCCACAACCATCGGGTTGGAATGCCCAGGTCTGTTGGCTCTCGCACAAAGCAGAGGAGCCTCAACCACCAATCAACATGTGCACATATATCAGATAATCACATAACAGTCTATAGACATACAAACCGATCTAACTGATCATACAAGTATCACATCATCCTATCTACCAGGATACTAATCTACAGATCATAGCAACATAATACCATCCTCTCTACCAGGATGCTAATCTCACAGCTCATACTAGCATAACATATGAGAGTCACAATAAAAAAGGGTCGGCCTTGGTGCCTTAGACCCTTGATCATAGTGAGGAAAACTCACCTCACAACTGTCGAACTGATATGATAAGCTCAAACTCTCTAACCACCGCCACTAACTCCACCACTTATAGTTACCATAAGACCATTTCCATAAATTTCCAAATGACCAAAATACCCCCCAGAGGTCAAACTGGTCAACCCTTGGTTAAAGTCAAAGTCAACAGTCAAGGTCAACAGTTCATGTTGACCCGACTCGTCGAGTGCAGTTCACCGACTCGTCGAGTCCTTCCTGAACTCGAGAAGTTGTGAAATCCCCGGTTGACTCATCGAGTTTCCCCGTAACTCGCCGAGTTCATGCGTGTCCAAATGTCGGGAAAACCCTAACTGACTCGCCGAGTCACCCTACTGACTCGCCGAGTCCATGCAGAACTCCTTGCACGACAATCTTCATCAGACTCGCCGAGTTTTCCATGCAACTCGTCGAGTCCCTTCAGTCCTTTCTTCATTCAGATGATTTTAAGCCACTTTAAGGCTCCATAATGCATATCTAAGCTCTTAAGGCATACTTCTTACGTAAAGTTGCAAACTTTACATACATGCAAGGTGATAATGGTCCAAATCAAGCTAAAGAATGGTTCTAAGGGATGAAGAAGGTATTAACTCACTAAAGGCTGAAACTTTATGATCTTACAGACCCAGATAAGCCTAGATCTGAATTTGTAACTTCAGATCATGCCTAATATCCAAAATAACATATCAACATTGCCAAAATGGCCCTAATCACATACATGCATAGATATAGGTAGAAGAAGGTCAAGGTAACAACTTGTTACCTCAAAAACGGTGCTAAGATGAAGAAGAACTCGGATCTACAGCCTTCCTCTTGTTCCAAGCTTGAGCACTTCAAGATCTTCCTTCCACAATACACCACAAGGCTTAATATCACACAATAAGAGAGAAAAACGGAGATTTAGGGCTTCTGGACTCAAAGGGGGCTGTAAGGGGAGGCTAAGGGGGCAAAAGATCCTTTAAATAGGGTGCAAAACCCCGGGGATTAGGGTTTCTCATTCCAGCTCCAACTCGCTGAGTCTGTCCTCCGACTCGCCGAGTCGGTCACTTAAGACCCGCGACCAAGTCCGTGCCTACTCGACGAGTCAGGGCATCCAACTCGTCGAGTCGACCTTTCCAATGGAAATATAACACTGAAAGTTTGTACCTGAGAGTCGGGGTGTTACAATGCTTTTTTAATTCTTATCATAAGAAAACTGCTTTAACAATTTTGTCCAGTTCATCCCTGTCCAGTTGCAGTTGTGTCATATGAAATAATTAAAACAATGTTTAGATGTGTTGTCTTAAAACTGATTATGTGGTATTAGATAATTAAAATAAGATAATCGATTGTAGCTAAACGAGTTGTAGGAGATAAGGCTCAGATAAGGGCTTTTCTTAGATGAAGTTGTATTAATTGTTGGCATATTTCAGATTCTGGGACAAAAAGAGTCCCATGAAGCTATTTTGCATAAAGGAGAAACAAGTATGAGTCCAAGCATATGTCATGTTTATTTTATCTGTGACAAAAAATAAAAAAAATGAAAATGAAAAAAATAAAGAGAAAAAAAAAAGCAAACGGTTACCAGTATATTAAACCAGCGCAATAATTGCAACAGAATTTGTCCTCATAACTTCTTTGTTACATATATACTCAAGCCTAAATATTCAACAATAAATATGAGATTATTTTCATTTTATTACCATTTAATTATTGTGATGATTCTGCTAACAATACAATTTATTGTTGGTTGAACAAATACAAGAACCATGCAATGTGTTTTCAATAAGTTATCCTGAATAAAACTTACTTTTCTACTTGATGCAACGGTCTAAAGTAGGGGCATATTGGTCATTGCAATGAGAAATAAAAACTTTAGAAATGCTTATTAAAAAATAGGGGAAATATATAACAAATAACTGAGAAATAAAAATAGCAAGATTTACCTGATGTATATAACCATTAACTGAGAAATAACTTGTGCTCCAACAACATTTGCAAATGTCAACATTCGTTTCTTGGTCATGTCAAGAAAAAAAAATATACATTTTTTTGAACATGACGAAATTACCCTTGTCTAAGAGATATATTTTAGAAACCAATATAGCAAAAGTTTTGAGAATGGTGTACCTGTGCGTATGTCAACAAATGCAAGATCACATATCCATTCCCAATGTAAATTGAATTACCATCTGGATCTTAAGTGACTGCCTTAATCGGTGTCTCATGAAAATCAAATGACATCACAGGTCTTCTTTGTGCAGCCATATCATACAAACGTACCTACAAATACTACTTTTATTTAGACCTCTATTCAATATATTCATTTATTTTCAACATATAATAATAATAATAATGAAAAAGTGAATATTATATGCTTTCTTCAAAAGGAAAGGACATGATGGTTGTTGGTGCCTCCCACAAGCTTGTGGTGATCATCTTTGCATAAAAACATGTCAGGAAGAAAATGCCTAGAAACACATCAAGACTGTGGTCGGTTTGTAAGGCGTCCAGCCCATATCAAGCCCTTAAGGGGCTATTTTCTTCATTCTCTTGCTTCCATACGAGATTAGAAGGAAAGGGTAGTCTATGTAGCTTTTAATCAATAAGAAATATCAAGAAAAATAGGTTCAAAGGGGTTGTTACACTTTCCTCAAAGTCCAGAACAAGGAAATCCCAGTATAGGTTATTTGTGGGGGTTTTTAAGCATGTAACGGCTATTTTCAATAGTTTGGGCATTATCAGTTTATCATGATTCATGACATATAAGTACTAAGACATGAACTACTAGTTCTTAATAGCAAAAACAAGACTACGAAGGTTGAACATGTCTAAAACTCACCCAATAAGCACACAGTGGTCTTGTGGTTGTTTCCCAGCGGTATAGGGAGGGGGAGGGGTGCGCACACTTTATGTCTAGGAAAACCTTAGGGATCAAGAATAATCGAAAAACTAACATGTAGGTTGATCGTACATCAGCAAGAACATGTTTTCCCCCTTTTTTTTCTTCTTGGCATCGCACACTCCCGTCTCTCCGATCTCCCTCTCATCTAGGGTTAAGATATGTGTACGTATGTATTACGCAAAACATGATTGTATATGGA